GGAAAGTGGGTCTAAACTTGGTTTCCAAACGCAATTGTGAGTCAGCCCGGATTGAGTCAACTGCCAACTCTGATTTTTTCTTGAATAATTTTGAAAGGTTTTCTGCCTAACGTTACGTTTCTTTTCACTTACATTTTTTACCTCCCCTTCCTTTCTCTTCCTGCTTTCTTTCGATGTTTCCACTGATTTCCTTCTCATTTCTTCAGCTTTTTTCCATTTCTGCTGTTTGTTTTTCTTTAACTTGCTGGGATGCTGCTTGCTGATCAGAGAGAAGGAGAACACGTTTTTCTGTGTGCTCAGGGTTAATTCCACTTGCACTTTCTTCTCTTCTATTTTTGGATTTTTTGTCGGTGAAAATATTCTGGAAGCGATCTCTCACTGCTTTGTAGGATATACCAAATTTTGGCCTTTTTACCTGCGAAAAATTATCCAGTTTTTCTCCACCCATCGCTTCTCGGCCTACCAGGACACGGCGAAATTTCCCGCTACGCCCTTGCTTCGAGTTATATTTTTCAAAAAACTTAATAACTTTCGAAAGGCAATTATTTATATTGGCAAAGATCTAGAATTGATTACAACCATCAATTGACCTCTCGAAAGAACGTTTGCATAAAATGTTCGCCGTGGTTATGGTTTCGGCGTCAAAGATTTTACAGTTTAGTTTTGCTTCACCATTAGATTGAGAAAAACTGTATCAGTGATGTATCAAATTTCCACCAGCTTTTTGCTAATTCCTTGTAATTGTATAATTTATTGAATGGTTTTCCGAAATCTTCAAAAACGCCCAAGAGTTGTGATTAACCAAGACTTACGACCAGCGAATATTAGTTTCTTCACTTATGACTAATGCGAATTATTTCAAATGCCTGATATCGAATAGCTGAGAGGGTTCTCACTTTTGAAGCATTAACTGAGTACAATCCTATGCTCTTTCCATTCAGAATGGTTGTATCTGGATAAGATTATCGATGCGTTGGCAGTTGGGTATGGGAACGTTCACATATTACCTAATCAAAGATGGAGGAAGGGGGTTCACACAAATGTTAACGGTCATAATGATCAATAAATGATGCAAATTAGATGATAATTTAGGGGGAAGAGGATTTTTTCAATGTTGCCTATATTTTGTTATGTAATTTGTGCATGTTCCTTTCTTGAATGATAATGCTCTTTCCAGGGCCTATTTTAGTGTACAGTATTACACACTTTGTGCAGTATTAATTTAAAAACGTGTAGTATTGATTTCGAAAATGTGCAGTATTGAATTTTGGGATTTGTGAAAATGTCTTTTTGCGACTATCCCAGATTCCTGCTTTGTTCAAAAAATGTGAATTTTCCTCGTCAGTTCAATATAGAGTTCATGTTTTGTAATTCTCGTATAACCATCGGAAAGACTCTCTTATCAAAACTTAAAACAAAGCGAAATGCCCAGAATCAAAAACAAAACATCTCCTGTAAATGTCAGCATTGCTGTAAATTTCGTAATTTGATCCTGTCGAAGATAAAACATTCAGTAATAATTTATCAGTTGTCCTATCATGCTCTGGGCATCTAGCAGAAGCTCACTTAACTTAACTAAAAGAAAGATAAAGAGCCTAATAAAACTTTTAAGTTTATAGATCACCTTTCTTCAAACAGACCCAACAACCTCTGTAATGTTTCGGCCGTAAAAATCGGTATAACAGACCACTATATGACATACGGTATTAGAAAATTAAACGCTAGAGTTCATGTCAATGACGTGAAATTTAAGACAGAGTCATGCAGTTTGAAAAATTATGACCGTGACTCTTTCCTTAACGACTTGCGTAGTATTGACTGGGAGATGGCTATGTCATGTAGATCGGATGACCCTAATAGGATGGCTAGCAATTTCTACGATCTCTTTCTCGCTGTCTTGGATGTGCATGCCCCGTTGATAAAAAGGACCGCTAAGACGGGGCATGCATATGTACTATGGATTTCTCCATATATCAAGAATTTGATGTGCGAGAGAGACCATATTAAGAGACGGGCTGAGAGAGATCCAGCACTTTGGTCAAGATATAAGCAGCTTCGAAACCAGGGGCGGTCTGGGGTCAAAATCGCAGGGTGGCTATAAAACTCAAGGGTCCGGTTTAGGGCCTGGCCGGAAAAATGGAGCCACACCAACTAAAAATGTGGATTAGAATTCGATTGATTCAATAAAAATTGATAATAAAGATACATGCTAAACAGCAGTAGTATATCGACTTCAATTTGTAAATTCGGACCCAATTGGATCCATACCTTTCCTCTCCTGTAAACAGGCTTTAAAATCCCATGTAGAATTAAGAATCAAGATCAAAACTTATTTAAATTCTCAGAGTTTCAACTCTTTTTGAAGAAGTGCAAATGAATCAGCAAATTGGCAAATGACTTGCTCGTAATCAAGTGGAAAGTTTTCTTTTCTTTTGAAATTATGAGTAGAGCTGAATAATCTTTCAAAGGAAACTTGGGTGCAGCAAATGACTGCGGAATAAGGAGAGGACCAGCGGAAAGACCAAAGAACAATACACCAATTCAACGTACGGCCTCATTTTGTAACATTCTTCAAATTCTTTTGTATGTTTACCAAATAATCGATAAAGTGCTTAAAGGTAGTGTGTCCATATAAAAGGACTGCGTATACCCAACTTGTCAAGCCACCCATCAAAATAACGGTTTGCGATTGGTTAGTATTCAGTGGCGTAGCGTCTATGTATGCTACGCTTGCGGCGCAAGCGTAGAAATTTATAGACAAATTCTAAAATTCTTGCAACACTTTCAATGCATAACAATTTCCGCAATAAACGGCTTCTCTTTCTTGTCATGAGCAGCATGCAGTGAACTCTAGCGCCAACAGGCCAATTGGCCCCAAATTGGCTATTTTTCCAAGTAAACTGATCGCTAAAAATTATGAAATTCGAAAAATCTGAAAAACTGAAGCCCCTCCACATCACTCTTTTTGCCTGTCCAAAATAAGAGAAACATGTGATGCTCCAGTGCAGCTTCAGTGCAACTCGAGAGAAGCTTCTGAGAGAAGTGAGAATTTTCCGGACTGGAGCTTGCGGTCGGCCTGAGCGCAAGCCTTCCCGAATATTTGATAATCCACAACATTTTTCTACCTATAAGCTGCTTTTTGCGAATACTCTTTGCGTGATACATCATTTCAAATCCAATTATTTTCCTTTCTTTACTTTGTGACTGTTGAAAAGAGAAAAAGTTTCGTCAAAGTGGGGTCAGAGTCTATTTGTCATGATCCGCATTCCGTAATTCAAGTCAAAAGGCTTGCCAGTATAGTCAGAATTTACGGACCAGGGCATGCGGTAGACCTGAGCGCAAGCCTTGCTAAATACATGATGATTTGCCGGGACTAACTTTCTGAAACTTCACACATGGAAGCATCTTCAATTCTAACAACTCTCACAGCTCACTATTTTCATCTTAGTTAACTATGAGAGTAAAAAATGAGCAGAAACTGTTGCTCCTGTTCGCTCAGGCTCTGCAGTGTGTTAACAATTTCGCAATGTGGAGAGCTCCTTCTTGCGGGAATCCCCAGCTTCATTATAGCATAAAAAATTCTTACATTAGGTGGGCATTAGGTGATGCCTTTTCTTGAGGAATATGAATAAGAATAAAATCTTTTGCAAAGCAGTTTTAGCACTAGGAGTTATTCTGAAAAGTCTTGCTAAACAATTGAGCTTTTTTCAAAAACTTTCGCATGGGTGATAATTTTTCCCTTGGCCTCTCTTCACTTTCCAACCTCTGTCGGAGCCTCTAATGAAAAGAATAGACACCTTGATTGATTAGAATTAGAGTACTAAAGATTTGTTACTTTGAAAATCAAAATTTGCTATCACGATTATCATTAATTACCGCTTGTATTTTTTAGAAACTGAAATTACCATTACATTTATTCAATATAGCCGTATATTTTATGTTACCGCATGCCTAAGTTTTGCGCTCACGCTACGCCACTGTTAGTATTCTTGCGATGCAAAACTGTTCACATGAAAAGCTAACTTCGCCGAGTTAGGTTCGGCACATGAGAAGCGCGACGTTCGAACCAGGCGTTAGAAGCCTGAAGCAGTTAAACGAAATTTAACTGCGACTGATTAGAAGCACGGACTTCTAGGTGACGCAGAGAGGATGGGATGTGTACTTAAACCAGGCAATCTGGGGCTATGTCAGAGTACTACCACGTTAAGGAAACCTGACCACAAGTTCTCAAGATGGTTTGAATGTGACATAGATCTTGAAACTATTGGAGGGCAGCAAAAAGGTTGCATTTCCGTGAGCTGCAAATAGCCATTTTACCTCTTCTGCTTCTGAAAAGTGGGGGCACATGTTCTACGTTACGTGACCTACGTAATACGATACTTAACTGGACGTTCCAAAATCTGATAAATTTTCTATTCGGACCCCCAGTGAGGAAATCAGGCTTCATGTTTAGCACGCCAACTAACGAAGATTTTACGTATGTCAAAAAAGGTTTTTTATTAGTTTGCACTCGGAACGCCAAAAGAGCCTCAGTGTCCGAAGAACTTCGGACCCAAGTACATGGAATGTACCCTACCAATCAATACAACAGTTTCTTGTTATTTGCATTGATGTGCACTCTGAACAAAGATCCTCCTTTCTTTCTTCTATTCCCCAACGCATGAATCCTCCCCTCTCAAATTTTTTCTATAAATCAATAATGTTTTTTTGAGAATCGTGTCTATTCTAAGCGGTATAGTAATTTATTAAATTTTAGTCTGGGAAATGCATTTTTAGCCATTCTAGAAGGGCTAATTTTAAAATATTTTTTTCGCGTCGGACCCAACCATGGTGGGACCTCCCATGTCACCAAACTTGATTCTTAGCCCCCTCCCTCTCCCAGCTCAAATTGATGCCGTCTCTCATTATCGGATTTAATGATTTTTTGTAATCCACTTGTTGATTCTGTGAAAAAGATGTCGAGTTCCTGTGCCTCGTTTCCATTGACTCTGATGATGCAATGGAACGTCAGCCTCGTGCTTAGGCCTAGAGCAAATGATAAATAGCAAATGTGCCAGAGCCTTTGGTTTTCTTGTCCTGTCATCGCGTAGTTTTGTGCATTCAGCCAGGAGAGGGATGGAGAACAGATTGAAAGTGTTTCAGGAAATTGGCCTGAGCGAACAAAAGGCAAAGGAAACTGCAAAAAATGAAAAACTAGCGTCTCAACTTGCACAGATTATAGATCAGGTATAACCCTTTTAAAATGCAATAAATCTATATTCTCAGTCACGTGTCGAGTATTTAGTCACAGCTTGGCTGCTTTTTTGGACTAAACTTTTTTGTTACCGTTATGATATCTTCACTACCAAAGTGATGTCTCAATAATGTTTTTAAAGAATATAATGACTGGAAAAAATCAGAGAATTTCAAAGTGTAGCTGAAAGGTTGCTTTGCAAATAAGCATTTGTCTCATTTGTCTGTCTGCATTTGTCTCCTTAAGGTGGTTACCATTTTAAGCATGGGCATAGGTGTTGTTGTGTAGTGGTGCCATAAAGTTTACTCATTCTAGCACAATTCAGTTAATAAGATTTGTTTTGCAAAACAGTTTGCATGAAGAACTAAATTTTCAAAATAAAAGGCTGAAAACCTTAACTTGCCTGGGTTGTACAATGGTTTTAAAAAGTCCAAGCTGAAATCCTTGAATCTCATAACTTGCATCTCAAGAAAGTCTAGCTTGTTGTTAAAGATGTTTTATTAGTGATTAACAATCATCACTATTCAAACCATGTTTAAAGGTCAATTTTGCCATTTTCCAGGCAAAGTCAATTAGCTCTGATATTCAGAAGCCAACTGGAGTACTGTTATACACATTGGCAAATGCAAATTTGAAGTCTGCTGGGCGGGAAAACATGATTATCAAGTATATCATGGAGAGGAAAATTGCTGCAGTAAATCAGCTTAATGGTAAATCATTATAATTTTGTTAAATATATACAACATTATTAACTGTTTAAAAGAACAACCTTTATCATTTCAGGCATTTGTTCTTCTTCCCTAAGCTTCGGAATAGTATGATTGACAATTTACTAGTGTACAATGTTTGACCTGTAAGTGTCTGGAAAAGAAGAGGAACTGACCGCGCGGTAGGTGTATTAGCCTTGTCTTGCATGCTGATGGTTTTAGGTTTCAGCTTGCTGGTTAGTTTCATAGACAGTATTGTCATAACCACTTAAAATTACTTCTTTAAAATGTTTTAAGTATTGAGAACCTGGCAAGGGTTGTAATCGATTAGTTCTGACCAACTGGAATTTTCCCTACCCATATAAGGATATTTGCAGTAGAAATTAAAAACTTTTTGTGCAACCAAATCTTGACACCCAGACAGGTCCAAAGATTCTAACACAGAAGGAAAATTCCAAAAATTTGCTGAAAAATGTGTGCTTTAATAGTAGCTGATACTGAAAGCTGACAAGTAATGATTTTATTGTTGTAAGAAAACCTGCTTTTCTGTACCTGATAAATTATTATTTTGCCTCTTTGTTGAAATAGCTGGTTTTGAATTCTTAAAAAGTCACCCAACTGATCCAATAAAAACTGAGGAATTTGAAAAGTCATGTGGAATCGGCATAAAATACTCTCCTGATGAAATTGAAGATGCAGTAAGTTGTCTTAAAAATTTCCCTTCAAGTTTTATGCTGGTTTACCATTTAAGTATTGTTAAATTTATAGACAATTATGTAAAGAATAACTGGAATCAGCATCAATGAGTAAACAACAAAAGTAATGTAAAAGGTTTTTTGATTGTTGAAAGGTTCGCATATTTGTTCATTGTTATTCTGCCTTTAAAAGCTTGTCAATGAAATGTATATACACAATGAAACTGCTAGTGTTAAAAGCTAGCTGATGAAACTGCAATACCTTTGCAATTGCCCTAGTGCTATATTTCATAATTCCTTATTGTGCCATATTCCGTATTTCATAAAGCATTGCAACTAAGGCTTTTTATTCTTTTTAACACGCAAGTAGAATTATCTTGAACAAATTTGAACTCTTGTTAGAATTTCATGATACAGAAATGTGCTCCAATTTGATTTAGTCTTTGATCTGAATTTTAGGTTGAAAGTGTAATATCTAAATTCAAAGAGGAGGTGAAAGCAAAGAGATACAGGTTCAACACAGGGATGCTTTTAGGTATGGTAGCAACACGTATGTCACCAATGTTTTGATTTTCTACTTGCTGAATTTGATAATGCTTTAGTAAACTGCACAGAAAAAAATAATTTTTTTGAAGCTCCAAGGAGAAGCTCATTTTAAAAATGGTATTGATAACATACCATGTAACAAAGGGCCTTTTGTTCTAATTCATATGGTTCTAGAAAGCCCTGCATGGCAGGTCCTATAAGTGGTAACTATGGTAATTTTATCTTGAATTGTAGTTTTACTGATTTATCTTAAAAATCTTCAGTCTTTTAGGTCTCTTAGACATTCTCCTTTCAATCAATCAGCTTTCTGCTAGTGATTTAAAACAACAAAGGAGATATTTTTAGTGTTAACTTCAGAGTTCTTTGTAAACAGGCAAAGTGAGTGAAAAGCTAAAATGGGTTGACATGAAGATCGTCAAAGCTGAATTAGATATGCAGGTTTGTTTATCTTGTCCCAATTTCATATCTTTCATTTGACACCTTGCCCCTTTTCCTTAAAACATATTGCTACAATATAGCTCAATCTCGTACCAAAAGTTGAATAAAACATGTGTTATTGTTGTTGTTGTTGTTGTTGTTGTTGTTGTTGTTGTTGTTGTTGTGAATATAAAGTATGAGCAATATGAGCTCGTGTTTTTAAGGCAATATGAGTTCCAGATTATGAGAAAAGACATCCTAGCATTTAACTTTAACATCAGTTAACATGCCCCAAAATTAATCATACTATTATACAGGTAAGGAATATATAGGTAGATATTCAACAGAATTGGAGGAAACCTGTTTTCATGTTATTGCTTAACTTTATCATTCCAGTGATTTGGGTATATGAACAAAATCTACGTTAATTCCTGGCATTATGTTTATTCTGGTTTTGAAGATGTGTTTTGAGGCTAAGCTTTGAATCTTGTTAGAATTTTACATAAATAAGTTATTACCAGCATCCTTTCATTGCATTAGGGTCAAATAAAGTCACTCACCTTCTTATAAATTAACTCTCCTTTCATATCTTCAGCTGTTAGATCTTCTTGGACCAAAAACTGAAGAAGATCTGGCTCCAGTTAAAAAGGAGAAGGTATTGTCCATCTCATTTCTAGCTATGTCTAATTATGTTTTTGATATTCGTGTTGGGTGATTATAAGACTAATCATAAGTCGTTGTAGAGAGATCAGTGCTCTTGATTGGCTTTTTCCTATCTTATTTGGTGGTTACAATAATAACAAGCTTTTCTTTATTGCTACTTACTTCTCAATCACAAGAAACATCTGAGTATCAATGTCACCAACATATCTAGGTCTACGCATATCTAGCCAACTATCACTATCAGAGCTCTTGTCCAAGTTTTAGTATATCTCAAAAAAGACTCATTTTTGTGGTATTTTTTGCCAAACTGCTTAGAATCATATAACAAAGGGTCATATTTTTTTCAATGGTTTGGTGTATAGATCAGAGTGGTTCTAAGCTAAAACTCTTAGTTTCACACTTAAGGGTACCTTTGCAATGGTTGTTGACAACCCTCCTTGTCCCCAGTTGAAAATCGTTGTGAATCAGTCTGCAAATAGTAGTTTATCACTACTATGTAAAAAAGGCAATCATGAGAATCAACAAAAAATTTTTCTTAATAAGGTACAGCCTCTTGTGATACTCTTTGTTTCACTCTTTTCTTTATGCCGTCATAATGCAACTGTCCCAGAGTTGCGACTTAGAACCATCCTGTTCTACACATCTAATCATGTAAAGCTCTGTCTATTTGACATTATCTGACAAATTGGTGTAAAAGTTTTTTCCAAATTTTTATTAATATAACCTACAATTGTAAAGCTTTGAGTTTTGTTAGCTTTGAAGTTATGATTATTATTATGATCAGGGAGGAAAACAGCAATCAAAGCCTGAGAAGTCGAAGAAGTCTGGGGACGAGAAACCAAAGGTCCATCAAGCTCTTGATCTCGATGCCATCATGAGTGAGTCTAGTAGAACTCTTACTGATAAATCTGCCTGGTTTTAGCTTACATCAAGACATATCTGAGTAATACTTTGATTCTGACTAACTCCATTTGAAGTATGAAGTCTACCAATATCTTTGTATATAGATTATAACATCGCATACAGCTTGGCATCCGCTCATTATGTGCAGTTGTAATACGAAGCGTTATGTATAGATTGTGAAACACATGCCAATTGGATATGGCTTGTCTCTGCCAATTGAAACTTCTGTAAAAACAATATTCAGCATTTGTTTAAAATCGACTCTTAACGACGCTCGTTCTTAATTTGTGAAAACCAGCCTATGCTGTCAAATGTGATTTTATTGCTAAGTAGCCAGTAGAATTCAGTTTAAGGGGAAACGTTTACTCATACTTTCGTACTGTACATTAAAATTTGTTTGACTGACACATTCAGGCTTAAATGTATATTTTCTTTGCATTTAGATGCCATTGATCCAAAGACGATGTACTTGACTGGAGAAGCAGCAAAGTTCCATAAACCAGGTTTAGTATTTTCGCCTATATGGACTGAACCTGGGGTAAAATTAATCCTGACGAAATTAGAAGATCCTTTTGTAAAAAAGTTGGGGAAACGATAGGGATTCATATCTGTGTAAATTGTTTGAAATTACGCCCTTTTTATTTCAGAAACAGCCCTATTTACAAAGTTAAGTGCCACGAACTGCTTAGCGTGTTACATTTTATTATTTGATATAGAAAAAGATTAAACTTATTCCGACATAGGTGGACCATACGTTAACTTTGCTTAGGGTAAAGGGGAAGCATATAGGGAGTTCCCGCTTTTTCAAGCACTTTTGTAAGCCAGCAGAAATGCTGTTTCGATAAGGGAGCATCAATAAGACGAACTCTGGTCACTGCGTTTGAATGATATGGTAGGGTCTGCCTGAGGTTCATGTTAAGAACCTGACAAGTCCTCAAGTAAGAATCAGCGAAATTCGGATTTAAGCAGAAGTTAAGATAAGATAATATTTTTGCTGTATGGTTGTAGTGAATCCTGATCTTAAGGATATTTATATTTTTCTTATTAGATTGAATGTCTAGGTTGCTTCACTAATTGATGGACAGTGTAACTTAAACATAAGACGGCAAAATGCAGAATGTTTGTGGTCATGTTATTTAGGCCCAGTCAATGTTCGTTATTTTTATTTGACAAATGAACTAATCATTACTAGTTTATTTGTTTTTGTTTGTAAGTTTCGTTAGTTTACTGTTTTTTTAATTTTTTATAATATCAATTAAAGCGGTACCGGTTTCCCTTTTAGTCGGTCACATATAATGCAGGTTTGATAATTTTGTTAGGTTTCTAATGCTTTAGGCTTTAACTTGTAATCTTCTTTTAGATGGGTAACTTTTGTTTGTTGTTCTACTCGACCGTTCTCGTAAGCATTATTTGATTCAAATTCATATTTGGAAGCAGTTTTTCTAAGTTTCTTATTATTATTGCTTTTTTGTTCTAGGAGAGAATTATAAGACCGACGGGTATGTGATCACACCCAAAACAATGGAATTAATGAAGGAACACTTAGAGATATTTGGTAATCAGGTAAGTTGAGAAGACTCGATAAAAGTAATCATTGTTTGGTTCCATTGCAAATGCCCTGCTGAAAATGGTCGTGAAAAGTCTACAAATACCAGTTCCCTGTTCATCAGTTTTTTGGGAAAAAGACAGTCATGAGAACCAACAACAAAGTTATAATCGCATTTGAGGTCAAATGGTAACTTATTGACATCCTCAAACTGTCGTGAAGGTACAATCTCGGATCTTACGACTAGCAGTGCGTTTATTTGCTGCTATCTTACAGGAAGGAAATGCATAAGAAGGAGGCTGTGCTGTTCAAAACGAGTCTGTTAATTCGCTAGCTTGAGAAGGCTGAGAAAGCGGCCAGCCGAATTGAGTTTGTTATCTTAGTATTGACTGCCAAAGGAACATGGATTCTGCAAATCGCCCAGGAGAGTTAACAAAAGAGCGGCATAGCCAATAGAATTAAACCAGCCTAGTTATTCATCAGTCTGGATACCTGACCAAATAGTAACAACTGCCGTTACTGGGAAAAGTTCTCATAGCTTAAAAGCGAAAGATGAAGAGCTTCCGCCCAATCTTTCTACGCTGAATTCATTAAAGGACAGTTTGTTTACCACGAGATTTTGCGAACTGGATCGTGCTCTTTCTATCTCAATGCGCCCTTCCAAGATTGATCTGACGGCTTTTGAAAGTAAATTTTTTAAGTAAGCGGAAGTTGAAGGTATTAAAACTAAATATCCAAAGATCTACTGTTTGCTAAAGAATGGCGACTTTTTTGATGGGGATAGGGTCGGGATTGAATGTGAAGCGTTACCTTCAGGGCACATGCAATACTACCAAGTTAGTGACGATTTTCTGCCAAATTTTGGACGAGCTTGTGATGATTTGATGACATTTATTTACTGGTCAGGCCAACAGTTAAACCCAGTTGCCACTTGACAGGGTAAAACCTTGTCGAATTGTTTAGAGACTATAGTAGAACAGAGGAAACCCGTTAGATTTTAGCAGAGTTGTCAGTTAAATGTGTACTTTATTTTGTTGAAGCTTTCATTCGGTGAACACAGGTGGGAGTAAAGATACTGCCTGTTTTAGGGGGTGTCAGTTGTCTTGAGGTTGCTAGTGCAAAGCTCTAGCCGATGACAAAATTTGTGTTGATTATAGTAAAATCTCGGTCATCGGTCTACCTAGCTGTGTTGGAATCTATCACACAAACGTGAAAACCCCTATTTTAAAGACAGAAAGAGTTCCATTTCCCCCTTGGGCTCTATTGGTAATATTTTCAATAGTCAAGCGGCACTGATTGGGAAACCATTTCGATCCACAGCTGGATATATATATTTATTTCTTAGCTTAGAGTGTTCAATCGTTATGTTTTGTACTCTGAAGAATGTCAGATGAAAAGCTTAAATATGCTTTGAAATGTTTTCCTTTTTCAAATTATTATTTCAAATTTTCATAAAAATTTCAAATTTTCTGTTGACTGTTTGTTAAATTTGTGGTTGGACGCTCTCTGTTAGATGGAATACTAATCGGAAATTTTAAGATGTTGATGACAGATTTGACATTCTTAGCTTGCACCTTAATCTCAAGACTTATTTTCTTCTCCTGGGTTTCTCAACCCGGGAAAATCAACATTTTTAAAACCATTGATGAAAGTAATGTTAATTTAAGGTTAGAACAAGATTTCCACCTGAGCCAAACGGAATCCTCCATATTGGTCATGCAAAAGCAATTAATTTCAATTTTGGTTTTGCCAAGGTAAATTGAATTTTGTTGGTATTTGATATCTGTCTATCCACTTCACGTTAAAAGACTTTAACAATAATTCGTGGAAAAAATAAAATATTTTAGATTGATAGTTCAGTGTTTTGTAACTTTGACAATCATAAGATTACACTTCTTTTTGCAATATTCATGGAATGTACTCATTCTAATTTTCCTAATAAGTTTTATTATATGTTCATTTCATGTGTTTCTTGTCCATGTGCTTTGTCGTGTAGTACAGAACGGTTCAAAAATCTGTTACCCCAATTTATCATCTCCTTTGACGCAGCACTTTGACTTTGCAGGCTTATGGTGGTATAACATTTCTTCGCTATGACGATACTAATCCAGAAAAAGAGGAAGAAAAATTTTTCACTGCAATAAGAGAGATGGTCGAATGGCTAGGTTAGTGTATTTTAAATACAGTTACTGTAAGTTCTACCTCGTCGGTTGTTTGACGTTAGGTCTCTAGCAAGGTTCTCTTTGTCTTCAGAACTCTAAAACATTTATTCTCCGTATATCTCCATATCTAGCCCGTATGTTATGTCTACCTTCACGTCTGCGTTTACGTCTAATTTACATCAACATTGCGTCTAGCTTCACATTTTTTGACATTCTGCCAGTCGACACTAGCAACGTGTCTTCGATTTAAGCTTCATTCGACTTATGTACATATCTAGAACTTGAGCATAGACAAACTCTAGACCTAAATTCAACTTCGACATCGACGGATTTTGACTCCAGCCATTTCAACGACCAATGTTTTCTGTCTTCAGCACATCTTCCTCTTGAGTTTCAGTACTGTACTGGAAATGAAATGATAAATGGGGATTTCGTTGTTTCTTTAGTAATTTGATTTATTATCTGCTCTATTTTTTAATTGCTAACTCACTATTCTTATCAATTTAGGAAAAACTTTTAGTAATAGCCCTTGCCCCCCTCGGAGTCTCCCTCATCCATCTTTGGTATAATTTTATGGCACTTTAGTAGAAAAATCTCCCAAAAATTTGTTCCCAAAAAGTGAACTAGTTGTTAACTTTTAGATGCAACATATTAGCAACTCTGTGTTTCTAGTGTACTCGTACGGTTTTAACTCAAAGTTTTTCTTTAAGTTGAATTCCCTTTTTTCTGTTTATTTTTTCATTTGACCGTTCTAATAGGCCTTAAAAATAATAAGTTGATATTCTTTAGCTTGCCATTCTTCTCCTCTTAGACCCGACAAACAGGTGATCTACCTTTAAAAAACTATGGAAATATCCGCCTTCTATCAGGCCTTGCTTTTGCATAGGGTAGAGTTTCTCTTTATTTCTATTTGGCCATTGTTACCTTGGTTGAAGTCCAGGGTTGTTCAGAGTAACAATATAACTAACTGTTTTGCCATGGAACTTAATAGCCAGATATGCATAAGTCATACATTGGAAGCCTCAGGGTCAAATCACTTAGCTAAAAATGATTATGGCAAATTGAAGATTTAGAATCTTATATTGGATTATTGGTGATAATTCCATTCATTTTCTATGCACCTGGCAAATCTATGGAGTTTCTGAAGAGCTCTAAGCCTATGCCAAAAACATGTAACTCTTTTAAGGAGATTTCGGTGACTAGGTCCTCCTTGCGGTCTATTATTGCAAAGTTTGACAGGAATTTTGATCAGCCACAAAAATATTAATCAATTTTTATCTGTTTTGTTTGGATGTTTTGAATAGCTGAGATACCAACTAAAGTATTTCATTCATATTAATTTTTCCCGATTTTCATAAATTATAAACATTTTTTCTCACAAGTAGAATTTTATGAAGGGTTTTTTTGTTTCACCAGAATAGACCAGGCGGAGAATAGGGGAATGGTCGCCCGAGAGCGAAATTTATGGGACCAAGTGCTTTTGGTCAATTCAAGGGTGCTTATTTAGAAAAGCGATGTTTTATTTGTAGCTATATCGAATATATCGAATTATTTGTAACTAAGTTTTGTTCCATTTTACAGGCTTTAAACCTTACAAGATAACCCATGCTTCTGACTATTTTCAAGAGTTGTACGATTATGCAGTGAGTTTGATCAAAAGGTATGCCAGTTTGTCTCTCCTTTAAGCTTCTGGTAACTCTTTTTTTGTCTCGTTCTTTTCAAATATGCTACCAACTACCAGCCTGCCCCCCCCCCCCCTACGATTATGCAGTGAGTTTGATCAAAAGGTATGCCAGTTTGTCTCTCCTTTAAGCTTCTGGTAACTCTTTTTTTTGTCTCGTTCTTTTCAAATATGCTAACAACTACCAGTTTTGCCCCCCCCCCGCCCCAACCTGAAAACAGTGCTGATATTTTTTGTAAATCAACAAATCTGTTGCAGTGTGTAAGTCACAAAAAAACTGTATAGCTACCTATTCAAGCTAGCGAATTCTTAGACTCTTTGTGGATAAGAAAGCCTCGTTCGTGTGTACTCCTTTTAAAGTTGCGTGAATTCGTACGACATTTTTTAATAAAGCACTGTTGTTCTAATAATGAAAGGGTCTTATGTGACACAGATATCTACTTCCTGATTCCAAGGTTTTTT